CTTATTAAGTTGAAAGCTTTGTGTTTTTATTTACTTTTGACTCTTTTACTTTATTTATTTATTTTTTTTGAGATGGAGTCTCACTCTGTCGCCCAGGCTGGAGTGCAGTGGCGTGAGCTTGGCTCACTGCAACTTCCACCTCCCGGGTTCAAGTTATTCTCCTGCCTCAGCCTCCTGAGTAGCTGGGATTACAGGTAGCCACCACCACACCTGGCTAGCTTTTGTATTTTTAGTAGAGACGGGGTTTCACCACGTTGGCCAGGCTGGTCTTGAACTCCTGACCTAAGGTGATCCACCCGCCTAGGCCTCCCAAAGTCCTGGGATTACAGGTGTGAGCCACTGCACCCAGCCCAAAAGCTTTGTGTTTTTAAAGATATTAGACATGTTTCTTTTTTAAAAAAAAATCTTAATAATGTAGGAGAATAAAAGAAATGTTTTTCCAAAAAAGAGAAATCATTGTGATTATTTTACCTTATTGGAATGTTGGATAATATAGTCCACTTCATTAATCATCAAACATGCTCTGGATTTTCCATTTTTATAGGATTTGTCTCAATTGAGGTAATACTGGTAATTCTTGTACTCCATGTGAAGGTGAAAAATGTAGGCCCAAATCATAGACCATGCATAGAAGCTGGATAATGAAGAGAGCTCTGGAGGAACATGTGGGCACACACACACACTGACACACATATATTTAGAGTATAAACACATATACTTTTTAAAGTTTATTTTGAACATTTTAAAGCAAAAGCCAGCCCCCCCCGCCCGGAGTAGGCAGGCCCCGCCCCTCTCCCCAAGTGGGCGGGGACAGCAGTTGCATGGGCAGCTTTCCTTGTGATATCACAGGTTCCTCTGGCCACACTGCTCCCTGGCCATGCCTCCTTTCCCTTTCATCTTTCTCATTGACCAATGGGCTTGGAGAATTAAGGCCACGCCCCCATTCTGCATTCTAGTGGGGCCCTGGTTACGCCTCCTCTGGCTCAGTCACACAGCCGCCTGGTAGGTGACTGGAGGTGTTCGCTGATGTGGCCCCAACCCTGCCTCCCTCCCCACCCCATGATGTTAGACGAGACTCAACGGAGTCAATTGGCAGCAGCCAAGAAAAAGGTAAGACACAACAGGTCATGGCCCCCCAACCTAGCCAGAGATCCCCTCCAATGACAAGACCACTGCCAGAGTACATACCACTCCTGAGGCACACTGGGCTGGACCCCCTAACGCTAGCACCTCTGGGCTCCCCCCACCAAAGTCTCATCAGTCAGCCCTGCCCCCTCAGCAAGCAGCCCAGCCTCTGCCCTCGCCAGTCGCCCCATGGTGACTTCTGGCAGGTGACTCCTGGGGCTCCCTGCTCCGTACTCGCCCCTCATATCCTGCTGCCCCAAGCCCAACCTCCCTGGGTTCTTTGGGTTCCGCTGTCCGAGGACCTGAGTCCCCCAGCCCCAGTCCCCCACCATCGCCAGTCATCCCCGGGTGATTTTGGGCTGGTGACTCCTGGGGTTTCCTGCTGCAGACTGTACTCTCCCCTCCTGCTGACACAAGCCTGACCTCCCTGGGCTCTTTGGACCGGCATCTCCAAGGACCTGGGCACCAGCCCTACGTCCCACTCCCCCATCATGGATCAGCAACTCAGCCATTGCACTGATGTGGTTCCCCCCACCCCAAGGAGGAGTGGAATGTAGTGACGTCACAGTACCCCTAGGAACTGTCATTACTGCTGCAAGACTGGCCTATGATCTTACAACCCAGTCCCCTAAGCATTCTCACCCCATTTCTGGTTCCTCTGGCCACAGCACACATTTCCAGCTGGGAGGGGAATGGGGACTATGGGACTTAAGAGCAACAGGTTTCAGGTTGCCTTACTCCCTTTGCATAGACATTGACTTTGTGAAAAGCCTACACTTCCCCTGTGAGCTTAAACGTTGACAGTATCTCTGGGTGGCAATGGGAGAATGGGTTTGGTTTGGTTTTCTCCCAGCCTTCTACTCTCCAGAGAGACTTTAACATGTTTTTCTGAGTTCTCCACCTCATATTCTAATTCTCCACAGTTCTGGGACCAGACTGCCCTTCAGTCAGTGGTCTCTGAAGTGAGATTTGCTTATCTTCTGTGGAATAGATCTTGGAAAACTGAACTTGACAGCTTGAATCTTCCTCATATCATCTCAACTTGGGGTACTTTGAGTGCCACAGGATAAATGTGGGAGATCTTTCTGAAGCATCAGTTTCCCTTGATTCTCTTGAGAGAGAAAAATCGTTAATGTACTTAGGGATGACAGTCACATACGTTTCTAAGAGTATACCAGACTTCTCTCTGAAATGAGACTTGGGTTGTCCTCTTTCTGATCAATTCCCAGATTTAACAAAAAAGCTGCCTTCTGCCATGAGGACACATGGATATAAAAGTTTGAGAGGTCCTGGTGCACTTCTTCACACTTACAGACGTGTGAGGATGTGTGACTCCAAACCACACAGTGTGCAGTTCCTGCCTACTTAATGTTTAGTTTTCTACCTCTGGCTCTGATTTTGGTCTCTGGCAGCTGCTGATTCCTGGCAAAACCCCAGAGCTTGGACTCAGAAGACTGAGTTTAAGTCCCATTATTGCCCACCCTCCCTTTTTTTTTTAGCCATAATATCCATCCCTCTCAATCAGTAAGTGATTGTGAAAACACCTTGTACAATTGTTGGTGACATTAAGTCAGATGGTGTATAAGAGTACTTTGAAAAACTGTAAAGGGGACATGGCCATAGGGGCTGGTAGTTCTCATGAGTATTACTGCTCTTCTTTCCCACAGCTAAAAGAATATCAGCAGAGGAACAGCCCTGCTGTTCCGGCAGGAGCGAAGACAAAAAAGAAGAAAACTGGCGGTAGCCCTGAGACAACCACTTCTGGTGGTTGCCACTCACCTGGGGATGTGAGTCTTGGCTGGCCAGGCTCCTGGGGACAGGGGGCCCAAGGGGGCAGTAGAGGGTAATTGTTAAGATTGCTGGGTACTAGTTAAGAATTCTGGGTTTGAATCCTGCCTCTCCCTTGGCTAGGGATCTGACTTACGGCAAGTTGCTTGAGTTCTTTGGGCCTCTCTTTTCACATCTGTAAAATAGGGGTAGTGGTGTTTGATTTGCATTTCTGAAGTTTAAATGATATTCCATATTGTTGTTGTTTTTATGTTAATCCCTAGTACATGTCCTGCTGTGAACACCCAGGATGCCCAGGAAATGGTCATTGCTGTTTGATTTTCCTGATCCCCAGTCTCAAGGGGGAGCTGGGTCAATGAGTACAGCCACTTGCTATCAAGCTGTCCCTTTAGGAGTCACAGAAGGGGGCTCAGGGTGTGGTGAGGAGAGCCCCAGGCACTAGGAGTAAGAGAAGATCTAACTTGCCACCAGCTTGCTGAGTGACCACAGAAAAATCACTTCTTACCCTGGGCCTCAGTTTTCTCCATTGTAAGATGACACTGGATAAGATCGGTGTCTTTCATACTTGTTTTTTAGCTGGAGCCCCTTTAGTTCAAGTGAACCCTTACTCAGGAGTCTGCTTTTTTAAGAGAGGTGGAGGTCTGGAGCTCTACTAGATTCAACATCCATGTCCTGGGCCTGAGGAGAGGGGTCCAGTGAGCATATTAAGAGCTGCGTTGGTCAGGTGACTCCACTCTGTGACTGCATTGCTCAGGGAACTTTTCCATCTATTTGTTCCTGCCCCTGGCAAGGCAGCAGGTGGCCATTTGGAAGAATGGCACAGGCCATGGTTTCAATCTCCTCTACTCTTCCTCAGCGTTTCATTTTACTCAACCCACATCTTCCTCCTACCCTGACTTTTTGTTTTTCTCTAAGCCACTTCTGTCTTTCTCCCCCTGCCCTCGTTTTTCCCTTGTCCCCTCCTATAGGGGACATTCTGAAGGTGCTGGTGTCCAACCTTAACCATTCCAGTGGGTAGCACTCCCCCATTGCACAAGTGGAAGGTGAGGCAGTGCCAGGACCCCTCTCTGGCTTGCTCTCTCCAGTTGTGCATGCCCCTGAGGCTTCTCTGGTTTTGGGGATACTTTGCCTCTGCCTTGTTTTATGTTGCTGCCATTAACCTTCATCCTGTTTATGTCTGCTTCTTCACCTGCTGGATTGATTGGGTTTTTTCCTTCCCCGCATCTTTTATCATCTTGGAAATGGTGAGACCTTAAAGTTTAAAAGTAACTTGGGAATAACATACAGAGCAGGCATGTGCGATTTGGGGATTTTGTGTGTGTGTGTGTGTGTGTGTGTGTGACCCAGACTGGAGTGCAGTGGTGCGATCTCAGCTCACTACAACATCTGCCTCCCAGGTTCAAGTGATTCTATTGCCTTAGCCTCCTTAGTAACCAGGATTACAGGCACCTGTCACCATGGCCGGCTAATCTTTGTATTTTTATTAGAGACGTGATTTAACCATGTTGGCCATGCTGGTCTTGAACTCCTGACCTCCAATGATCCACCCGCCTCAGCCTCCCAAAGTGCTGGGACTACATATGTGAGCCACTGTGCCCAGCCCCTTTGCTGTTTTTATACTTTCTTTATATCCATAACTGTTTCCCTGTGTTTCTTTTTTTTTTTTAATTTCTCTTTTTTATTACTCCTGCGTCATCTGCTACCCTGAAGGACCTGGAGGTAAGAGGCCCTGAGCCAAGGTGCAGTGATCCTGTAGGCCAGCCCTCCAACCTCCTCTCACAGTGGGGGCTGGGTGCCCCTCTGCCAGCTGAGACAGCCGACACACACCCCAGCCCTAATGATTGTTCTCTCTACCTCTTCCCACAATCCTCCTCCAACTGCTCCTCTCTGCATGCGCCTCAGAGCCGGAATCAAGAACTGGAAGTAGCCCCGGACTCAAGGTCCGCAACAATCAGTCAACTCTATGAAAACATAGAATCACTGGTAAGAGTCCAGTGGGGTCCTGTGATTCCACACTGCCAATCCTGAGCTTTAGTTTCCCCTTGGGGCTCTGAAGAAAGGGGCTGGGCCCCCTGGTGCCAAGGGCAAATGGGGAGCTGGAGCACCCAGGCCTCACCTGGAGGGACCCCAGAACAAGGAGCATGCAGCATGGCTCTTCCATCACTGCCCCCTTTGCCGACTCTTTCTTCTCCAGACACCCCTGCTCCAGTCCTTGCCACATATGCCCTGGGGTTGTCACCTCTCAGGGAAGGGCTAGCCTGACGGTTTGTCAGGGGTCCTGTATTTCTGCTGTGACTCAGTCCCTAATTTGCTCTTTGAGTCTGGACAAGCCACCTCTCCTCCTTGCACTGGTGTTTCTGAAGGAGGTAGAGCATCAACGGTCTCGGTTAGCTCTGAGAGTCTGAGATTTAAAGGCTCCTAGAATGGAAACCTGAGGGCCAAGGGCTCCTGTCTGTCCTTTTCCATTCTATATCTGCTGTGAAGAACTGTACCTGGCTTGTACATGCTCAGTAAATGTTTGTTGAATGAATGCACCTTCCTCAATCACAAGCTGGCAGAAGGGTGGGCCTTTCTCAGACTCCATCTCTAGGGGTTTATGTTACTGTCCTTTGGAGAGAATCCAGATTCAGACTTTGAGTTCTGTGGCTGTGGGCAAAACCCAACAAAGACCCAAATCCTCTGTCCTTGCGAGCTTGAGGAGAGTTGACCAGTTCATGTTGCCATTGGGTCTGAGAACGTTGTCTTTAAAATTCATTCCTGGCACTTGTCTACCGCTTCCTGGTCTGGGGAATAGAGTTGAGGGGGCCCCCCTCAGTCACCTGAATTTGACTGTCCCCACAGAAACAACAGAAGAAACAAGTGGAACGTCAGCTGGAAGAAGTAACGTGATTTCTTTGTTTGCTCACAACATGACTGCTGGGTTTGGGGGGCACTCAGATGTAGAGGCACCAGTCTCATCTCACCTACTGCCAGCCTGGGGAAGAAGGCACATCCCTCAGATTCCACCACATCCCCACAGGGTCCCTGATAACCTGGTCCCATGGGTGGGCCTGTGCTGGGGCATTGGTGGCATTCTGGGGGCATGTCTCTTGCTGTGCCATCTCTGCCTCCCCTTGGTAAGAGCTCTGTCTTCCTCTTCCTATAGGAAAAGAAAGCAAATAATGAAATACACAAAGCACAGATGGAGCAGTTAGAGGTGAGTGGAGGGTGGGGAGTTTTCTCCTGTCCTCCAGAGAATGTTTCTTCCCTTCTCTTTCAGCACTTGCTTGTCTTTTCTCTCAAACATTCCATTTCAGACAATCAACATCCTCACGCTGGAAAAGGCAGACTTGAAGACCACCCTTTACCATACTAAACGTGCCGCCAGACACTTCGAAGGTGGGAATCTGGGCACCCCATCATCCTTCAACCTGG